TGTGTCAATTGATGCTTGTGTAATTATTTGTGAAATTTACTATTAATTTCTTAAATTGTGAATCCTACATCAAATATTTTCATGCATATATATACACAGTATATATAGTTAAAACAATAAAAATATCTCTCTATATAAATGTAACCAAGAAAATAATTACCCTATTATAAATTATTACATTTGTACTATAAAAATATTATATTATTAATATTAATATGAGTACTGTTACATTAAGTAGCCATTTTGTTTACTTAAATTGTTCTGTTATGAATAAACAATTTGTTTAATTAATATAAGGTCATGAAACTGCATAAATAATAATTAGAAAATAAATGTAATAATTAAAAAAAAATTAAATTAGTTTTAGCTGAAGTACACTACCATTGCAAAGTCTGGGGTCAGTTTTCTAATTTTTTTTATGACTTATGGTCACAAGACTACTTATTTAATCAGTGATATTTTTTTCGAAATATTATTACAATCTTTTTTTTTTCTATTTGAATACATTTTAAAATGTAATTTATTCCTGTGATCAAAGCTGAATTTTCAGCATCATTACTCCAGTCTTCAGTGTCACATGATCCTTCAGAAATCATTCTAATATGCTGATTTGCTGCTGAAGAAACATTTCTAATCATTATCAATGTTGAAAACAATTGTGCTGCTTAATATTTTTTCCAGTTTATCCAGAATCCAGTTTATTTTCTTTGATGAATAGATGGTTCACAGAACAGCATTTGTTTGAAATAAATTTCTTTCTAACATTATAAATGTCTTTACTGTCACATTTTACTGACGGCAAACTTTTGAACAGTAGTGTACACCGGACACTGCTTGACATGTCAGCTACCCATCATAGAAAAGATACTGTAGCACTAGGACTTCAAACTATGGAATTTGGTATGAAAAATACTGAATAAAACCTATATAAATGAAAGTGTACAAAGATTAACTGCTGTGCCGAATGTATTCTGTTTTTAGGCCATTTAAAAACATACAAACCAGTCTACAGGTTTCCCCTGATCATCATAACACGAGATGGAGGAAGAAGCTCCTCCTGATGCATGAAGGAGGAGCAGAACATGAAGCAACATGATGGAAGTGAAAGAACCTGAAACACAACATTCATTTGTCTGTCAGGATAAATCAAATACAATCCTTCTCATCATCACTTTTAAACGCAAAACTGCACGACAGCAATCTGAATATTAAAGGGATAGTTCACCCAAAAATGAAAATTGTTTATCTGCTTACCCCCAGGGCATCCAAGATGTAGGTGACTTTGTTTCTTCAGTAGAACACAAACGAAGATTTTTAACTCAAACCGTTGCAGTCTGTTAGTCATATAATGGAGGTGAATGGTAATCACGGCTTTGAGAGTCAAAAAACATACACAAACAAAACCAAATTAAACTCTGCGGCTCGTGACGATACATTGATGTGTAAAGACACGAAACGATCGGTCTGTGCAAGAAACTGAACAGTATTTATATTGTTTTTTACCTCTGATTTACTGCAATGTCCGAACTGTCCTGAGCGCATACTGAGCGCGTTCGCGTCTTCTTCTTCTTTTTACGGCGGATCGCAGACTTATAAGTGCATTACCGCCACCTATCTCTCAAATGGACCATTGACACTCCTAATTGAGATTGTAGATAGAGTGTCAATGGTCCATTTGAGAGCTAGGTGGCAGTAATGCACTTATAAGTCTGCGATCCACCTAAAAGCAAGAACAAGAAGAAGAAGAAGAACTCGCTCAGGACATTTCGGACATTGCAGTAAATCAGAGGTAAAAAACAATATAAATACTGTTGAGTTTCTTGCACAGACCGATCGTTTCATGTCTTTACACATCAATGTATCGTCATGAGCCGCAGGGTTTAATTTGGTTTTGTTTGTGTATGTTTTTTTGACTCTCAAAGCCGTGATTCCCATTCACCTCCATTATATGATTAACAGACTGCAACGGTTTGAGTTAAAAATCTTTGTTTGTGTTCTACTGAAGAAACAAAGTCACCTACGTCTAGGATTCCCTGGGGGTAAGCGGATAAACATCAAATTTTCATTTTTGGGTGAACTATCCCTTTAACGCTGGCATAATGGTTCACTGCACTTAATATTTTATACTTTTAATGTACGTGTTATATTTATTATGGTCTAATAACAAACTGCATGCCTGAACTACAAATAGAAAATAAATTATCATCGCTATAAAAGTTTGACATAAATCTTAACTTTACCTCAACGGGAGACAGGTGTGCTATTGAGAGTGAAAAAGTGGATCTTGTCAGTCCATCGCTGAGCGAAACTTCAATTCCTCATGTTGTCACATGTAGCAGGTCCATGAGTTTCAAATGTAGACATTGAACAAGTGGATAGAATGGAATTTAGCTTAAATCGTAAAGGGAGGGGACTAATGACTGAGCATTTGTTTTCTTTGTTGGTTTTGTAATAGTTATTTTCTTATTTGAAGTTTCCACTGTGCATTTTCAATTCAGTGCTATCGTAATTTCTCAGTGTCTTTGTTCTTGTATTTAATATTACTCAACAGCGCTGGTAAAACAGCGCATTTTGTCACGAGGTAAGTGTTACTTTTCTCAGCGCCATTCAGGATAAACCAGTCACAGTCGATTGTGTTGACTTAATCAGGTATTTTTAAAAACCATTTTTTAGCGATTGCTGGGGCAGATTTCCATTTAAACGCCAGATGACAATCCTTGGAATTTATGTATTTAAAATATGCAAATGTTTTACCGTGCAATTTCTCTAACGAAGCACTAAAATATCCTGAGTTTTGAATGGCGCTCAATGGAGTATTCGGCATCCTGAGCGCCAGTGCGCCTCCTGAAGGAAAATAACGTTTTATTTACTGCCATACAGATAAGTGCAGCACAAGTGAAATAACCGCGTCTAAACACCGGAAGCGATTTTGTTTATGGATATTAATAAGGGTACTTAACTTTTGGTTACAAAGCAGAGCCCTTCTGGAAGTGAGATTGATCTAATTAATATTCATAAACACGTAAAATCTACAAGCAAAACAACATGAAACGCATTTCAGAACAGCTATTATAAAAACAACTGTCCTTTTTGTGTTTTGTTTTGTTTTATTTTGTTAAATTAAATTACATTCAATTTAAAATCGTTTGTGTGCTGATTTCTGTCTGAAGCTACGGCATATTCAGTCTCATGTCATAAATGTTTTATTGTTGATGGCAAGTTCTTCTGCTTATTGCAGTTAATTCAGTAAAGTAGCACTTTCTTTAAATTTCCTTCTTTTCAACGTCCCTTCTAGGACTAGTTTTTTTTTTTGTCAGAAAAGTATAGTGCAGCCTAATTTAGAAACAGAGAGAAATGGAGAATCCCCATCTTTCCTCTGTTTGGCCCCTTTCAATCCGTTATTGTCACTGCTTTTAACGAATTACGTTGCTTTTGGCCTGTATTTTCTGCTATTGTAGTTTAAGACTAAGAAAAACATATATGCCTAAATTTGAATATTTGTGCATAAGTTGATGTAAGCAGATAAAAAAGATATCAGTGTCCCATATGATAGATTTAAAGTCACACTCATTTTTGAGCTGCTAGGGATTTGTTTACTATTTTATTATTTATTGTTAGCCTATTAATGCAAAATGTTGTCAGCAACCAGTTAGTTTTGCAATTCAAGTTACACTCATCAAGTAAGATGTCTAACAGGTTTTGCTTTTCATATTAATGACTTATTTTGGTCTGATGTAAAACTAAAAGAACTCAGTACATTCTGTACTATTTCAACGAATGTTACTCTTAATTGTATTTGATGTAATTTTCTGCTGCATTTCCAATTTCTTACCTCAAGAGGTCGCTGAGATGTTTTAAAAACATAATCTTATATCGTCATACCACCACAGGCTGTAATCGTAGTTACATTGATGAATCCACAACCATGAGCACAAATACAGTTACACTATAGTTCTTATAGCAAAATTAATTTTCCTATAGGAGGTTTTGCTTGTGGTTACTATGAGTTTTCAACAAACACCAGTTAAACCTTTGTTCCTGTAGTAAAACCATGGTTAATTTCCATAAAACATACTCGTGGCTACTATGGTTTTACAAGAAATAACACAGTTAAACTCTTGTTCCAGTAGTAAAACCACAGTTAATCTCTATAAAATATTTTTTTCTCGTGGTTACTGTGATTTTATAACAAATACTACAGTTAAGTCTTGTTCCTGTAGTAAAACCAGTAGATTTACTTGTGGTTACAGCTTTTACAACAAAAACTACATTTCAACTCTTGTTCCTGAAGTAAAACCATAATTTATTTAAATAAAAGATAGTTTTACTTGTGGTTACTAAGAGTTTTCAACAAATCCCTCAGTATAAACTAGTAAAATATTAAAGTAAAATATAGTAACATATTAGTAGGCTAGATTTCAATAAAATACGGTTTTACTTGTGGTTACTATGCTTTCACAACAAACACCACAAGTAAAATATTGTTCCAGTAGTAAAAGGTAGCTTTACTTGTGGTTTCAATGATTTTACATTAAATACCACAGTTAAACTCTTGTTCCTGTAGTAAAACCAATTTTAGTGAAGGATTGTGGTTACTGTTTTAGTGTGAATACATTAGTTACTCTACGATTGCTGTGGTAAACCCATGGTTCACTTTCATAAAAATCTGTGGTTACTTTTGGTTTTTAATATTTTTGAATTCTCTTGACACCTCCAAAACAGATTCTTTGAAGTTATGCTAATAATTTATCATTTTAAGCCTAAAAACAATATGTTCCCTACATCATAAAACTGTAAACAACTGTCTGAAAAATCAGGGCAAAGAAAACATTGTGAGCCTTTAACATAAGAAAAGATTGACTTTGGGTAAACTGTATATCCTTTTTGATTAAGGAAGGCAGCAAAGTGAATGCGTTTTAAAAGTTTCCTGCTGCCCCAGTTCCCCATAACGTGTGTGTGTGTGTGTGTGTGAACAGGGATGTGGATGTCAGCAACTTGTGGTTATTGCCTCGTGCACCTTGCTGAAGGTGGCGTAGAGTTTCACTGGAGACAGAGACAGAGTTTAGAGGCTCAGAGAGACGGGAGGTGAGACAGTGGGATGGCCAGCCTATTACCACCCTTCAACTTCTGCTTTCTCTCTGGCTCAGCGTCCTACACTGTGCTTCTGATGCCATTCGGCTCCCTCTTCAACACATGTGCATGTCATGTGTCCACAGACGACTGGCAGCACTCGCTGAAGAACATCAGAACCAGGTAGTGTTAGAGCAAAACCAGGTACCAATTTCTTGATTACTCTTGAAGTTACTTACAGTCTTTCTTGTTTTTACGCACAAACAGGGCTGAGATGTGGGTACGTGTAATTGTGACCTCTGTGCTTCTTTTGTCAGGTAATTTTGGACAGGTATCTTGTGTTTTTAATACAATAAAATGGTTGTGATTGCGTATTGCAGCTCTAATCTGTGCTCTTATATTACCTGAGTGCCCTTGGTGCACAGGTTATTTATATTGTATTGATCTGTATTTTTTCCTGCTTTTATCCCTGGGGTCAACAGCACACACCTTGCTAAGGTCAATACCGGCCTCTGATTACTCTTGTGTTGCTTTATAGGAGTCGGGGAAAGTAAATGGCTGGTGTATTTCTCTAGGACAGACATCTGCGTTTGGGCCGGGACCACAGTAACACTGCCGTGCCGCTACGATTACCCCTCGCCCTACAGCTCTACGCGGGTCATGTGGTTTCACATCTCTGCAGAGGGCCGACGGGATGTTGCCTACCATACTGATGGGAATCTGTTGAGCCCCTCGTACAGGGACAGGATCAAATACATGGGGGGCCACAAAAGATGCAGTTTGCACATCACGAACGCGAAGCTGAGCGATGCAGGAACATACCATTTCAGATTCGAGACCGACAACCAGCAGGGCCGATGGACCTCTCCTGATGCCATCACACTGTCTGTCACAGGTCAGGCCACATTTTAAAGGTTATTTTTTTATGTTAAAGTGACATGACATGACATGTGGCCAAGTATGGTGACCCATACTCGGAATTAGTGCTCTGCATTTACCCATCCAAAGTGCACACACACAGCAGTGAACACACACAAACCGTGAACACACACCCGGAGCAGTGGGCAGCCATTTATGCTGCGGCGCCCGGGGAGCAGTTGGGGGTTCGGTGCCTTGCTCAAGGGCACCTCAGTCGTGGTATTGAAGGTGGGAGAGAGCGCTGTACATTCACTCCCCCCACCTACAATCCCTGCCGGTACGAGACTCGAACCCACAACCTTTGGGTTATGAGTCCGACTCTCTAACCATTAGGCCACGATATAATTGTGGAAAACAGCTTGTTCCTAAAATAATTTAGCATGGCACATGGACCTAATATTGTGAAATGTTGTCCTGATTCCAGAGCTTCAGGTTCATGTACATCCACCGAGAATAGACAACATGTTTGCTGCTGGAGAGACGGTCTTCCTGAGCTGTGTGGCCCGAGGCTGTGCCGCTCCTGGCAGGAACTTTGCCCTTTATCGGAATGGGATCAACTTGGGTCAGTCCAACAAGCTGTCAGCCATCTATAACTTTGACAGTCAGCATGCAGGTACCTACACCTGCCGTCCAATACCCCCTCAAAATGTTCAGTCACCAGGAGTCACCCTGGCTCTTGGATGTGAGTATTGTGCATGCATATAGACAATAGTTCTGTATGTGTAATTGAACACAGCTTTGTCACAACAGGAATAAATTACATTTTAAAATATATTGAGAGAAAATAGTTATTTTAAAGTATAATATTCACAATATAACTGTTTAACTGCATTTTTGATCAAATAAGTGCAGCCTTGGTGAGCATAAGAACAGAAATAAACATTCAACAAAACATTATTGAATAATACTGGATATAGTATAAACATGTCTAAAATGTGCTGCATGTGGTAACATCTAAATTGGCTGATTTTATACATGTATTATTAGAAAAAGCTACTCAAGGATTCAACTGTGAATTAAATGTTGTGTATTAAATACATAAAACTTGTAAATACAGTGATTAAAGCAGGGTGTTCAATTGAATTCTACTGTCAGCCGCCCTCTCCCATTAGAACTTGCATTTAGGCTCTATCTTTCTCTGTGTCTCAGATGCTCCTCGCTACACCACAGTACAGATCACCCCTCGAGAGGCAGTCGGGGAGGGCGATTCGGTGACTTTGACCTGCAGTAGTGATGGAGCTCCGCCAGCAGAAAGTTTCGACTGGTTTAAAGAAGGAGAGAGTGGCAGTTTGCCAGACAGCTTTAAACCTGAGCTGAGATTGTGGAGTTTGGACTACAGGGACCATGGAGAATACTTCTGTGTGGCCCGCAACCCACTCGGCACAGACCGGTCCAGACCGCTTTTACTCAATGTTACATGTAGGTTACCTCTATTTTTATGTAGCCAGAATAAATAATTTAGGTATTGCTAGTCTGTTTGCGTACATTTAAAAAAATAAAGGTTCCAAAAGGAGGTTTTGAATAGAATAACATTTTTTGGTTCCCCAAGGAACCTTTCAGTGAACAGTTCTTAAAAGAACCATTTTTATAATAATAATCTGAAGAAACTTTTTGCACTATAAAGAACCTTTTGTGGAATTGAAAGGTCCCATAGATGTTAAAGGTTTTACATGGAACAATCAACGCCAATAAAAACCTTTATTTTTAAGTGTGTAACTGATTTTATTAACATGCATCTCTAAATACTGCAGCTTTTAAACTGCAGGATATGCAGTTTATCAGTGAATAGGTCAAAATGACAGCCTATTTTGAAAAATGTCATCAGACTTTTGGACTTTTCACTTTCCCTAATTAGACATTTATTTCCATTATTGCTGATCTGATGTCTTTGTGAGTGCAGAGATTTATTTTAGTTGCTGGTTCTTGTGTAATAACTTTAATTTTGGCAGGACATTATGTCACATTGTCTGCCACCCTCCAATTGATCAAAGTTCAAATCAAGTGTACAAATATAGGGCAAATCGGGAAACCACATGATGCTCAGCCATGAAAGGAGTATTTACTTCCTGTTTTCACTTGTTAAGTCAAACATCACTACTAGCATTGGTCATACTTTGGGGGTAGAGGTGTGTTAAAATGATTCAATATTAAACTTTGGTACGTGACTTATCCCACATTGTTTATGCCATGGGCATGACTGATACATCACATTGTGTGGTTTATGTAGGACAACTATGCTACTGCTTTTTAACATTTTGAATTTTCACCTGGTGAATGATAAAACGTAGACATATATTAAAAAGTGTAGCAATGAGTTTACAACCAATCAGAATGACCTAGCAGCCACATAGAAGCATATCAGAATGATTTCTGAAGGATCATGCGGCACTGAAGACGATACTAATGATGCTAAAAATTCAGATTTACATCACAGGAATAAATTGCATTAAAAAATGGCTATTTTAAATTCATTCATTCATCATCATTAGTGTATTTGTGAGACTTTTATGTATTGTAAAATGTAACTATATTTGTTTCTAGACTCCCCAAAGAACACAAGAATCCTCATCAGTCCTAAAGGAGACATCAGGGAAGGGTTTGCTGTCAATCTGACCTGCAGCAGCAACGCCAACCCTCCCGTGCAGAAATACGCCTGGTACAAAGTGAACGGCGGTCAGCCCTGGACCAGAGGCACTGCGCAAAATCTCACCTTTCCTAGCGTGCATTCCCATCATGCCGGACAGTACTACTGCACTGCGTGGAATGTGTTTGGCATGGAGACATCGCCCACTATTTCTCTTATAGTACTTTGTAAGTTTATACTTATAAATTATATTATAAAGTTTTAACATAGGTCTAAGAGTTTTGTAACTTGAACGTGCACTTCTTCTGGTGTCATCCATTTCCAGTTGTTTTAGAGATATAAATTCGCAATTCTGAGAAAAAAGTTAGAATTGTGAGATATAAACTTGTAAGTTTACACTTTATAATTCTATGGAATCCTGTTTCTGCCACCATATAAAAAATACACAATTGCAGCTTTTTATTTTACAATTCAAACTTTGTTTCTCACAGTTCCGATTTTGTATTTTTTATTTTGCAAAATGTCAGATTTGTGAGATAATAACAAGCAATTCTGATTTTTTTCTTAATATATTTAATATCTCGCAAATCTGAGTTTAGATCTCTCTATCCCTATGCTTATATATAACTCAGAATTGTGAGATAAAAAAGTCTGAATTGTCAGATAAAAAGTCGCAATTAACTTTTTAGTTTTTTAATCCTGTAGTACAATCAAGCTTCCATAAAATACACACTGGTTTGTACTGTGAATAATCAGACCATTTAATGCACTTCTAGTTATTTACTTTTTGTGGCTAATAAATGGGAATTCTTGCACATTCACAGAAAATAGGTTACTTCCACATTGCAAAATAAGGATACTGTACCTACTTTATATACCTCTATGAACTGCTAAATTTGTTGGATCAGTCCTCCAGTTGTCTAAGGATTCCCTTCTTTTATTTAACCTCCCCACCTCTCTCTTTCTCTCTCTCTTTCTCTCAGATGCCCCCAAAAACACCTCTGTGCTGGCTCGGCCTTCCACTGTGATCGAAGCGGGCAGCTCGTTGACGCTGACCTGCATCAGTCAGGCCAATCCGGCAGTGGAGAACTACACCTGGCACCGGATCAATGCGGCTGACGCCTGGGAAACTCGATCGGGTCCCAGCTACACCATTGCTGAGGTCAGCCCTGGAGCCAGCGGCCAGTACTACTGCAAGGCCCGCAACCGCATCGGAGCACACAGCTCCCCGGTTCTGACGGTGAAAGTTCGAGGTCAGTGCATAACAGACAGCAGAGCAGCAAATCAGAGTATTAGAATGATTTCTGAAGGATCATGTGACACTAAATCCTGGAGTAAAAATGCTGCAAATTCAGCCTTATATAAAACTACATAAATTACATTTTAAATATATTATTTAAAATAGAAAAAAGTTTTTTGTATTGTAATAATATTTCACAATATTACTCTTTTTACTGTATTTTGGATCAAATAAATGCAGCCTCGGTGAGACTTCTTTCAAAAACATAAACATTTAAACTGTAGTTGTGTGTGTGTGTGTGTGTGTGTGTGTGTGTGTGTATAGAGAGGAACTTCTGGACATAAATATAGTTACTGCTTACCGCTGTTTATCAGATGAATGATGTGCATGTACTGTATGCCCATGATTGAGCTGCTGTGGTTTATATGTTCAGGCCGACTGAAGGTGATCGCATTGGCATCTGCAGTGGGCGTTTCTGTCGGATTAATATCTCTGACCGTGGTCGTCATGATCAGGTGATTTTACGTTTACTGGCTTTAATAGTAAATATCTGATCTTCTCATCCGATCTTGCACACACCATTTCACATCTCTTTTGCAGTAAAAACATGCATCGCGTGGACACTGAAAATCTTGAGGAAGAAAAACAGGTAATTTTTATATATCTTATTCTCATCGTATGAATTGAATCTAATCTGTATTTATCATATTAATCGATTGCCATGTTTCTCCTATAAAAACAGTGTTCACCATTAGTTGACTTGCCAGTGGACAATACTCTGTTTAGTGAATCAACTTCAGAGACGTTTCTCCTCAAGAGCACAAAAATGTCAGACATTCCGGTGAGTTTTCTTTGCTCAGATCTCCTTCCACTATTATGTCCGTCTCTGTAGTATACTGTAAATGTGTGAATTGGAACACAGCCTATATGTTCTGTATAATTCACATATGTATACAACACACTAAAAGTATGTGTAAACTTTTCAGTATGTAGTAAAATCATTACATAACTTTTAGGTTTATACTTTTCTCAATAAAAAAAGTCTCAGCATCATTGTCTTCCATTGCACAATTAATTGTTAACAATATCAAGCCCAAAACAATCATGCATGTGTTTGAAAGTTTGAGAATCTACCAGAAATAGTATTGCACGACAGGCACTATACAGTACATTTTATAATGTTCTATGATTTGTGATACACTAATTGTAGTTTTGATATTAAGGATGGATAGTATATGAACTCAGAGAGTCATATACTTTCTAAACTTATAAGTTGTTTATTTTGTTTCTGGTTCAGGAAGAGCCAGAGGAGATTTATGAAAGTAGCCACCCTTCCATCGTGCCCCTGAAAGAAGCCGCTCAGAGCGCTGAGGAACAGGGAAAAATCAACTACATTACGGTGCATTATTCTCGTATGCCCAGGTTAAACACAATTACACAGTCCATGTGTGCTGGTTTATGCCAGTCCTCTGTCATATTAATGCCATAGTTGTTGTGTTTGTCATTTACAGTCCGGACCAGGCGAAGGTCACAAACATTCCTCTAGATGGAGACAAGAAGCTCAAAGATGGTCCTAATGTTGTTTATACTGTTCTCGCCAAGCAACCGAGAGAGGAGATGGAAGAATCTGGAGTCTAAAGCGGTCAACTGATGGAAGAAATTGTAAAACCACACAGGGACTTTTTTTTTTAATTATATGCACTTATGGACCACTTGATGTAGCCTCAATGTCAGAGACTTGAAAAGTAGAAAAAATCCCCACTGTTCTGTTTAATTGTGTCCAGCTGCAGTTTGCCCTAATAAAATCCAGCTGTTTAAAACGACACGCTACTGTTCAAATGTTTGGGGTCAGTAAGATTTATTTTAAATATTTTTGGAAGAAGTCTCTTATGCTCTTTTTTTAATTTATTTTGATCGAGAGCACAGCAAAAACATGTATATTGTGAAATATTATTAAAATATATAATGACTGTTTTTATTACTTTTTAAAATGTCATTTTCAGCATCATTACTCCAGTCTTCAGTTTCACATAATGCTTCAGAAATCAGTTTAATATTCGGACTTCTTATTCTTATTAATGTTGAAAACAGTTGTGCTGCTTAATATTTTTGTGGAAACTTTTCAGGATTCTTTGATAAATCGAAAGTTCAAAATAACTTTTGAAATAGAAATTTTTGGAACATTATAAATATTTTTACTGTCACTTTTGATCATTTTAATACATCCTTGCTGAAAAAAAAAAGTGATTTCAAAAAACTAATTTTACTGACCCTAAACATTTGAAAGGTAGTGTATCTGCTATATGTTTGAGTGTGACACGATTAAACGCATCATAAAAATCATCCCACTTAAATATTCAATTTAATTGACATGATAAATTCACGAGAAGCTCCAAATAAATAATTTCTTACAATGGCAACAAAGAGTCTGTTTTCATACATTTTCTGGCAATAATACACAATTTATTGCAATTGCTGAAAATTAAATTAAAATACTAAGTACTGAGCGGTTTCTATTCAAGAAAATTGACCTTTGACCTGGTCACATCATACCAAAAAAAATAAAAATAAAAAAACAGAAAAACAATAGCTATATGCATATTTTTGGCATTACTGGCATTTCAGAATACGGAGACCACATGGGATATCCATTGTTGTTGTTTTTAACAACCTGGAACTGTGTGAAGATTCTTTACAGATTCAAGGGTGAGTAAATAACAACAGATTGATAATCATGTTTTTTAGGGTGACCTGTTCCCTTAATGAATGTTTCTTCATTTGTGAGGTGATTATAAACAATACCAAGTGCTTTTTTTAATTAAAATTGAGGATAGAACAAGAGGCAATTTTCTATGATTTACAATGTGAGAATCCACTGTATCTTTCCTGCTGGCATAATAAATTACTCACTTTCTAAACATAACCATTATTGTCTCTTTTTACAGACTCTGTGAAGAAAACGTGTTGTTCAGTCTCTAGTTCAGTGGCTGAGGACAGTGTTCACCCTGATATGCAACACAGCAGCAGTGACTTGCAAAATGTAAGATACAATACGATAATACTAAAGGTGAAATAGGAATACAAAAAGTACAAAATATGAATGAAACATTGTGCCATTTGATATGCAGAAAATATTATAAATAGATAAATAATAGACTGTGATGGATGCAAAAAATGCATAAATGAATGTAAAATGTAGCACACAAACCAGAAAAAAGCAGAACTATTGGTTTACATCTCTGTTTTGATCGGAGTCACACGTTTTTTTCATCCTCTGTGGTAATAACTTGTTTAAAGTGATCTTGACCTCTCTCCCCTGAAAAACAAAGCCACATTCCCTTAGTTTATAAGACCAGAAATTACGCCAGACAAGACACTTATTGAGTAGATGCTTTGCTTACCTTGACTTCCTTCTGATGAATATCACAATGCCTGCTATTATGATAACCATGATAATAATTCCAAGCACAATGCCAGTAGTGAATGAAGATGCACTCCTTGCTGTGAAGAAATATTATTATTACAACATATCATCTAGAAAGGCATTAACAGGCTAGTTTACAATCACACAGTGACTTCTTCTCTACTTGGTTATACCACAGTATTCACACATTTAAAAGTGTCATGAATGTGGCTGACAAATTTGTTCATTTGTGCTAAGTAATGTCATGTTAACTGGTCACAGTTTTTGAAATAAACCTCCCACAGTGAAGGTCATGAAAGCAAGACAGATTTTTCTGAGGAAGTGCCTCTGCTTTGTTGAAACATGTCTTCTTGTGAAGAGCTGACATTTGCTGTGGGCTAAAAAAAAGGAAGTTTTGCTTTTACTCTGAGTTGAGTAAAAAAGCAGACAAACGATATTGACCAATTCATTTGGTTTGGCTATGTTCTCATACATGTTTGTCAACCGTCAAGATTCTTAATTTTAGATATGAATTGGATATATTAAACTATAGAAACTATATTTCATTGTTGTTGGTACACAATAAAATGCCAAACATAAATAAAATAAAAAAATTAAATAAAATAAGGTACCATTATTAACATTTTAATTTATGAACTGCTTTAGTTAACAAACTATCAATGAAAAATCATTCTATATTAGTATTAAATTAATCTTAATAAAATTCTGCTAATAAATTATTAAAATGAGAAGTTTTATTTGTTAATATTATTTAATAGACCTGAGCTAACATGAACTAGCAATAAATAGTTGTATTTTTATTAACAAAGATACTGTAACATTTATTTGCTCCTTTTTAGTTTATATTAGTTAATGCAATAACAAACAGTAACTAATAAGACCTTTGTTTAAAGTGTTAACATATAAATAATATAAATGCCACTCTAATCAGTGCTATTATATGCTATAAAATGTTATATGATCTATAAATCCATAAAGATATGAACAGAATGAAAATTGCTTAAGAGATCTTATACATTTTGAAAATATTAGGAAATATTAAAATTGTGATTTGTGATTTCCAGACTTTCCTGGAATATATATATATATATATATATATATATATATATAAATAGTTCAATGAAGAACCTTTAACATCCATGGAATCATTCAAATGCACAAAAAGGTTTGTCTTTACACTAAGAAAAAAAAGTTAACTGAAAAGTTCTTTGAGGAATCCAAAATGTTTATTTTATGCAAAATCCTCCTTTTGGAGCCTTTATTTTTGTGCAATATGAGATAAAACATTGCATGTCCAGAGCATAAGAAACTGTTCTTACTTTCTGTCTGATTTGTGACCTGTAGATTCACTCCTCTCTGTCCTGGTAGCTTGGCCTTCAGATGGTCGGTGATGAACCGGAACACGTACACGCCGCTGTCTTCTGACCTCACATCAGAAATCATCAGAGAGCAGTTTTTGCTCCCCATCTGCCCCAAGTACTTGACTCGGCCCTGGTATGAGGGCTCAGGGAATATCCCTGCATTGTGGTACACGTATCTTGGAGTAATGCAGTGGCTTTCATTCAGACACCACATCTCTGACAGCACTTTGCGCAGTATTCCCTGGTCGGACTCCTCAGGGTAGTCATAGGTGCACTGCAGAACTACAGAAGAACCAAGAGGAGCATAGACTGGATCCATGGGAACATGCACTATCCAGTCAGCAGCAAGAGCGCCTGAAATGGAAGCATAGCAATTGTGAAGGAATCTAATTTGAAACAGATGGTTCTACAGTCTGAACAACTTTCTTCTGCATGCGTAGACGACTTATATATTCTCAGTCTTAGAGAATTCAGCAGTAGAAGCAAAACTTCTGCAGTAAGTCTTACCCGACAGAATCAAAGACAGCAGGGTCCATATGCTTGCAAGGAGATTCATAAACATTGTTGCAGCCTCGAGTGTTTCCTTACTATGCAGATGTGAAAACATCACCCTTGTCTGGTTTTTGTTGTTCCTCCTCTTTCGTCATTTATTATGTCATTATTTCCTGCATGTTGCCAGTCTCATTTTTTGGTTGTTTGTTTGTTTTTTGGTTGTTGTTGCATTCTTTTTTTTTGTTACTACATAATTCCCATTATTTTATGAACAACAACAATCTATTAGTATTCATTTTTAAGATTAAAATGAGTTTCACTTAATATTTATTTTCAAAAAATAAAATTGTTGCATTGTTAATAAAATAGCTGTGATTATTGAAAGTGAAGTGACGTGTGGCCAAGTATGGTGTTCCATACTCGGAATTTGTGCTCTGCATTTAACCCATCCAAGTGCACACACACACACAGTAGTGAACACACACCCGGAGCAGTGGGCGGCCAATGCTGCGGCGCCCGGGGAGCAGTTGGGGGTTCGGTGCCTTGTTCAAGGGTCTCACCTCAGTCGTGGTATTGAAGGTGGAGAGAGCGCTGGTTATTCACTCCCCCCACTGACAATTCCTGCCGGACCTGAGACTGGAACCCGCGACCTTCGGGTTACAAGTCTGACTCGACTCTCTATCCATTAGGCCACGATTGCCCCCATTATTATTATTAATAATAGTAATATTATTATTATTATTATTATCGTAAAATACTAAATTGGGCATAGAGCATACATGTTTATGGTATTTATGGCTAATAATATGAACTAAAGAGCATAATAATAGTAATATACTGTATTATGAATATTACTATTACATTATTAATATTATATTATTCAATTATGCTCCCAGCTCCTTTTTTTTCCATGCTTCATGATTTTGTTAAAAATATTTGTTACTACATAATCATACGTATTGGGAACCAATGTTATTTTATGAACAATAATATGTAATGATTTAATGTAATGAATTAATATGTAATGTTAAATATTAGTTTTAATTAGTTATTATTATATTAAAAATAATAATAGCCATGATGACGATGATGATTATTATTAGAAAATAATGAAATGGGCACAGAGCATGCATGGTGTCACGATACTGCTGTTAGGGAGACGAAGGCACGACGAAGATTATAACAAATACTTTTAATGGTAATTCACACAAAGAAGAGGGTCTAACACACAGGGTAGCATCAGCAATTTCCAGACAAAGACAGACAGACTACATTTTTTAAATACGAGAGCAAATTAAGATAATTAATGACACACACCTGAACTAAATGACACAATCAAACATGAGGGAAACTAGGTCACACAGAGCACATGAGGGATGAAAACAGAACAAAGGTCCAATGGGGTGTGACAGATCCCCCTCCCGGAAGGCGCGACCTCACGCCATGGAGACAAAGGGAGGGACGGAGGGGGACATAGGAGGAGGACACAAGGAGTGGAGACGGGATGGTGACCGAGGACGGCGAAGGGCTGGCAGAAGGCAGGCAGACAAGACAGGTGGAGGCTCTGGCAGAGGACGGACACCCGGGAGGAGGACGACGACAACCAAAGTCCAGGGTGGAGCTGACGGAGGGAGGAGCCAGGAGGGAGCAGGAGGAGACAGGTGTGACCCAGGCCACAGCCCTGATAGCGGCCCATGGTGGAGCCGACGGAGGGAAGAGCCATGGTGGAGGAAGGGCTGCCGACTCCAGGGGGTCGACTGATGGCGGCGGAGCAGGTGGTGGTGGAGCCCAAGGAGGAGACGGAGAGCCGATGAGCCAGGGCGACAGGGAGGATCCGGAGGGGTGGGCCAAGGCGGAGCAGATGGCTCAGGCGACCGAGGCGGGGATCCGGAAGGCCGCAGTGGAGCCAGAGGGAAGGAGGAGCCTGACAGAGCCGGAGGGATGAGGTGTAGCTGGAGGAGTAGAGGCGGCAGATGGTTGACGACAGTCCAAGGCGGAGCCGGAGCCGGAGGGACGAGGGAGCCTGGCGGAGCTGTTGGACTGACGGACCATGGTGGAGAGGAGGGAGCTAGGAGCCATGGTGGAGCCGCTGGGTCGCAGGCCGAGGCAGAGTGCGGGGCTCAGAGGCAGGATGCGGAGACAAGGGATCCTCCAGCCAAGTCGAGATTGGCAGAACCGCTGCGATCCCACCTCACAGATGGTGGGCTGAGGGTGAGCAGAGGGGCTTCCAAGACGCAGCAGTGGCGGAGCTGAGGCAGGGATGAAAGGAGGCAGGAGAGGGAGGGGGGGGGGGAAATCCAGACAGGTAGAGGGTTCAGGGAAGGTGTGTGCCGCTCACACACACCACATCGCGACTCCCAACACTGGGAGCACGGCGGACAGGGGGACGACCTCCGGGGTCATTTCAGGGCAGGCAGGCAGACAGTTCAGGGCAGACAGAGAGTTCAGATGAAGGCTGGAGAAGAGGGGGCATGTCTGCATATATATCCAAAAAAACAGTCCACTGAGCTCGGCTCACCCTCAGCAACGGTGCAGTGGGCGGAGCTTCCCTCCGTGCTTTCGCTGTCCATAGCGCTCTCCTCCGTAGCGAGCACTGTAGCTGGCTCTCGCACCTGGTCTGACGTTGATTGAGGCTCTGGCTCCGAGGCGATCCTCAGCTCTGTCGCTCCCTATGGCGATGGCTCGTCGGTCGCGGCAGGCTCAGGCTCTTGGTCCGCACAGCGGGGTGATGGTGGGCTGGGCTCTGGGTCTGGCTGTGTTCTGGATCGGGGGTAGACTCTCTCCAGACACCGGATGATTGCTTCCCTCCAGCACAGTCCGGTGGTGTCTGAGGTCGACGGGCCGATGGTGATTAGCCCCGATCCAGCACAGTGAGTTCAGCGTCATGATGTCGAAAGCTGTTAAAACGGCGAGCTGGTGTACTTTGTGAAATAATTGCCTAATATTGTATTAACTCTTCCTTCCTGCTGCAAAGATTGCACAACACCAAGATTAAACTTAAGCCTCCTCATTTGAGCTGCCTTACGGTCAAAATATTTGATATGACCAATCAAATCAAAGTAGGCGGGCTTTATGTTCACAGAAGCTGCTTAGCGCGAATTTCAACGCAACGCTTCAGTTAGCGACTATGAAGTGTGGGATAAGATGTAAGTAGCCAAACATTTCATATCTGACTGCTGTTACACGATAGAAATGTTAAACCACTGAAAAATAATCAGGGATGCAAACTAATAAATTGTCTAATTTCGTTATTTCGAATTACGTGATTCATGCGATTCGTAACTGACAATGTGAGGGGACAAGAAACAATGGGCCTCATTCATGAAACACGAGCAGAACGAATTTATGTGTAAATCGTTCCTAAAGTTGTTCTGACTTAAATTTTGGGGTTCATGAAAGTGTTCGTATTTTACAAATGTTAGTTGGTACACACAAAATTTACACCTGCTCCCAGCCCCGCGTAAATGGGTTGTAAGTTAAATCATCCGAACGTTTTGCTCATTGATGGCGCTGCATATTTATGAAACTATTTACCTTATATGATCACGTATGTATCGCGCAGCATTTTGATAAAATAATATAACGTTACAGTAATTATATACAGTATAGGCTACTGTGCTTTCCTTTTTACTATTATGAACAGTAGTAATAATCTGCAAATGTAACACTTTTATCAAATAATTAATTATTTGTTAGGGATGTACCAATTAGTCTAATTATTACGGAAATGGTTTTCTATAAAATGGCCAGAATGAGGCATAACAATAAACACTTACTGGCTGATATAGCGCTATTGCTAGACAGATTTGGCAGACTTAAAGACGTATTTTTGGAGATTTACTTGCAGAGAACGATGACTGGTTGATTAACAGATTAAACTGCATTAACAGCATCTGTAATGTGCTGCCAAGCTTACTTTTTTAGGACCTGATACTCCACTATGTACGCTTGAAAATAAAATGCTGCGTTTTGAATGCACTTCTAATAACACAACTTACATTTCTGTGTCTGAGAATTTTGTTATTTTTCATTTGCTTTTAAGAGGACATGTTGAAATCCTTATTTTCGTTTCATAATGTGATGATGCCCATATATAGTTGTCAGTCGGAATTCATGGGCGGGGATTATGGTAATTGAGAATGAGCGTGCACGCTCGCTTCATTGATTGGAATTCATTAACATACACATTTTTAACTATCAAATCTGATGTTTACGAAGCGTTTGTGAAACCGGAGGAAAGAAACTAGGTCACACAGAGCACATGAGGGATGAAACCAGAACAAAAGTCCAATGGGGTGTGACACATGGATTATAGTATTTATGACCAATCTAAACAACCAAAGAGCATAATAATAATATTATTTTACGTGTATTATATTAAATAAAATTATGTTTTTATATAAAATAACAATATATGTAGTTTTACTACATAATTCCCATGTTTTGTTATTTTATAAACAACAATCTATTACTAATATTTAAAAAAATATATATTATTTAATAAGTAATGTTAAATACTAATTATTTTATATTTAATATGACATTACTAATAACTGCTTTTAATAATAATGATTATTGTTGTTGAAAAATAATAAATTGGGCATAGACCATATGTTTATGCTTTTTTATTAAGTCATAATGAAGTCATTATTCATAATAATGAATGGTATATTATCAATATTATTAACTGTTAATAAGATTTTGAGAATGTTATAATATGAATAATCGTTATTTTATTGATTGTATGGTTTTTATAGATTTATAAATCTATAAAAACCATACAAGGCATCATGTATCTCACAGTCGTCTTGCTCACGAGTGCTTCATCAGATGAGCTTCTGCTGAAGGGCGGTGGCACGCTCACAGATTCACCTGTCCACCTGCGCTCTCCTGAGACTCGCTGCTGACCGGAAGAGGGAGGTTTCCACTCCAGCGAACAGCGCAGAAAGAGCAGAGAGAGTGAAGTGAGGAGAAGAGCTGTCCTGCCTGCTGGAGAATAGCTTAATTTAACACACAATAAAAGAGTGAAGGACTCCGGGAAAAGGGAATGTCAGCGCGAATATCTTGAAGAAACCACTGATTTACTTCTTCACCTCTTTGTTTCTTATTCAAGAGTTTATCCAAGAACCTGCAGTGGAGAGGTAAAGGTGAGAACTTAGGTTTTTACTATTAAGAGCATTGATGAAACTGGAAGTAAACGAATTAGACATTAATCTTTTATATCTTCCCATTATGATAATTTCTATCCAATAATGATACCATCAGTTACTTATGAGATCATTTATTTTTCCAGATATTTTTCACCTTATGTAACGGGCAATCAGGACAGAATTCGTTATATTGGATTTTTCCTTTTTTTACTGGATGTAACTTTTTTTACTTTTAACTTACATTTAATAATAATAATAAAAAAAGTTAAAATAAATGTGAGTATTTGGAAACAAAAAAAAGTCAATATGTAGCTGAACACAAGTTACAGACACCTTTAAGTTCTCTAAAAGTGTTTAATTTTAAAGACATTAAACCAAATTGAAAGTTACAAATCACAGTAATAAATTCATTATGCTTCAACCAGTTTGAATTTAATTATTAATTAAAAAAAATGTAAAAGTTAGTATCAAGGACATAAATGAATGCACAAATTAAATTTAGGGCAACAAAATTAGTTTGTGTTCCTATTAAGTTGAAAATATTTTTACAGTGATTGTTAATAACAGCACAGACTGTATCCCTCTGAATTTTTTCTCAGTTTGCCCTTTGGTTTATTTAACTTGCTTAACCCATCTTTGTCCATGACAGCGGTCGGACTACTTTTTATACGTATTTTCCTCAACATTTTCAGGTGTGAAGAAGCAACAAATCAAGGTTTTGAGGAGGAATCATTGGAATCTGTTCCAAGCTTATTTTTCAGTTTTCAGTTTTGGATAAAGATGCCAGAGAAGAAGATCGGTGAGTACTGAGCTATTTCTCTCCCTTTTGACATCAGACGAGTGCCATGTTAAAGATTAACAGTGATGGGTCATGTACTCAATTTGTTTTGGTCAGTCTGAATCTTGTGTTTTACTTCGACAAAAGGCCAAATGTGTCAAGACATGACATGACGTGATGTGATGTGCCATACAGCTGTTACCTGCACAGAAAAGCTAAATGCAAGGGTGCAGGTATGATTTTGGCATAGGTGGGGACATAACGACAGACAACAGACATTTCATTGTCTGATCAAAATTATTGCTAGGGACAATTTAGTAGTTGCTGGATATTGGTAGGGACTCTACTGATTTCTACAGCCTAAATCATAACAAACATAACATAATCATAACATTCTAAATCATAACAAACGATGTCCAACTTTGGAAACTAAAGTTCTCTCCTTAAATATAAAGAGGGCAAACAACAGAATGATGAGTTAATTCAAATTTCACAAAAACTTGGATGCACATAACTATAGTGAGTTGCTGTTTTTGTTACTCATCTGAGGAAGTTGTCATTCACTTGTTTGGCATTGTACCACACAGAGTAATTTTGGTCAGATTTTTTTATATGTTCATTCAATCTCATTTTGACTTTTCTTTCTGTTTTAAAGATGTTTTCTTTGGATTGTTTGCGTACCCAAAAGATAATATAGGAAAATATAAATTAATTAATTTGTTTCCTGCTAGCTGAATTTCACATATTAAAAATCTGGATCCAAAGTTGACTAGACAAGTATATGGAAACTATCCAAAGCTCTGTTAATGCTAAAACAGTGAAAACTGCATCTATATGTGTCCTCTTAAGGTGTAAATGTATTACTTTTTTATTGGTTAACCTGGCAACGCATCCCTTACGAAAATTAACCATGTTTTTACAAAAAAAAAAAATTACTATAGTTAAACCATAGCCACAAATGAACTATGGTTTTGCTAAACCAACCATTTTAGTTTAAAGGGGTCATATGATGCTTTTTTAAAGATCATTATTTGGTGTATTTGGTGTAACAGAATATGTTGACATGCTTTAATGTTCAAAAAACACATTATTTTTCAAATACTGTACATTATTGTAGGTCCTCTATGCCCCG